GACGTGGCCAATCGCATTGGCATCATTTGAGGGGCCTAGTGTGGAGTGCTTGCCGCTTGTGATAAAAAGTTTGGAGGGGCACCCCATCATGCAAACACATTGATCACATAGACCCTAAGCAGGTCCATTGTGCATGTTTAAGCCCATTGACTGTGCGAATGGGCATTCATGGCAACCCAACACAAATGTTGCTGGATGCTCTCCCCACGGCGACACTTGTTGAATCCCAAGGCCACCATTTGCCCACGCGGGAGATGCAGAAGATCCAGAGGCTTGTTTGCCAGGGATGGGCGAGCTGCCTCTAGACTACAGCATAGTCGAAGACACAAATAGATTGACGTCAATGAGCCCTTGGCCGCTGGACTGCGCAAGCAATGTTTGACAGTATCTATGTACTAATGGGTGTTTGTACATGTGGCATGTACGCAGTTGTCCAGGGTGAGCATGCTTGCGAGAGAGAGAGAGAGAGAGCAGGTGTCGCATCACAGGCTGTGGCAACGACAAAAAATGCTCACCTGAGTGTTGACCAGTGTGGGATTCTTGAATCTTCAAAGCGGACCGGCAACACACGGTTCTTCCATGTGGAGGTTGGTGGCCAAATCGACGCCTCGCTGTTCTGAGGCAATCAAGCCAGTGCAGCTCTTCAACATTTCAGCTGACACACCTTCAAAGCCGGGCAACTTTCATTTTTCGCAGGCATCCCAGACGATCAAGCTTCAAGCACAGCATTTTATCGCAGCTTAGTCTTTTTGGAATCTAGCCATGAAGGATCTTGGAAGTTATTCTTTTCCGGGTGGAGGCTGCTGAACATCTTGCTGCCACTCTAATACCTCCCACCAACAATCCTCAAGCCGCTGGCCTGCTACTGTAATTAACTGTAATTATATTATATAAGGCTTTGGCTTTACCAAATCTATCGGTGACCCGAGGCCCGCGCCTGTCTTGAACAATGATCTGCAATTGCAACTCCAGGGAGCAGCAGAAAGCCTGCAGGAGTATAGAAGCTGACACTCACAATTCTCGCGCTTCTCCTTTGAGTCAAGGATGTCGGGAAGAAACATGAAGCAACAGTTTCGGGCGTTTCATTTTGTTTGTTTCTTCCCAATTCTGAAGCCAATTATATAGACTTCTTGCAGCAGCTTTAGCACAACGAGTGCCATCTGGGAGGACGCTGCTAGGGCTTTACTTCGACTTGGCAAGGTGCAGGCCAGTTTCTCAACGTCCGAGGTTATTGTGTGTTGAATTCAGGCCAGGTTGGGCTGGTCCGAAGAATCTTCAAGCTAGAGCATTTTAGAAGCAAGCCTGCACCGCCTGTGGCAGCCCTCCTGTGAAAAGCCAGGCTTTGGCCCCAGCTGTGCAGCATGCAGGTGACGAAGCATCGCTGACTTTGGCAGGCATTCGGAAGGGATCCAGCCAGGTTGATCAGTCGCAACGTCACGTTCTCAACACAATCCAAGACATCCCCACTGTTAGATCAGATGATATCACGAAAGGTAGCCTGGTAAGGACTACCTTGAGTTTGCTTTGCGAAGCAAAGGGACTGGCTTGAGAGCTTGCTCGGGACTAAAGATTGGTAGATCAATGTCTAACACCCCCACCCCCCCCCCCCCCCCCCTCCCATGTGATGAATGATTGATAAATCAATTGATTCGACCCCCCCCCCTCCCCTCCACTCCCCTCCCCGTCCCCTCCCCTCGTCGCCAGCACTACTAAATTCTGGACATAAGGTGAAGTCATGCGCTTAACAGTCACAGCAGTACGACGCTGGCCATGAGGTTGCGCAATACAGCACGAACCCTGCGCAATGCGGTCGCGCAATGCAGCTTCCATGCCGCGCGTGCGCACCCGGCAGCCTGACACAGCGCGTACTGCGTTCACAGACCAGATTGCTCGACACCAACGAGCATCGATGCAACACAGCCTCTCTGCAAAGCCCTGTGGAGAAACCCCTCGCGTCGCGGAACACCATTCGACTCAGCCTTATACCCTAACGTGGCAAAATTTTACCGCATCGTGGAGCACACCCACCATAGAGTGACGTCCATCCCTGGCAGTACCGGCCGCACCCCTCCAGCACTATCCTTACAAGGGGGTTGGTCACTGAGTCACTGCGGCTTCGACGCAACGCGTGCAGGCCTGTAATCCTGACACAGTGCGTGCAGCTGTGGGACCATAGCTGGTACACATGCGAGCGTTTACGCATTGCGACTTTTACGCACGCCTGTTTTCACACACCTATAGACACAAACGAGCGTCGACGCAACGCAGCCTCTCTGCAGAGCCGTGTGGCGCAATCTGACCGCAACGGTGTTCCTCTTGAGCCTTCTTATGCCTTCTTGTGCTCTCTGGCTTTGTTGGTTTCATCCATGATTGACCAAGGGGCACGTTCCTGAAACACCGGAGACAGTCCCTCACCAGAAAAGGTCCCGACAGCTACTCGGTCCGTCTCTACCTTTCGTGTTTCCCCGCTCAAGTGTAAAAAAGGTGCAGGAAGCAGCCAGCAGCAGCCAGTGTCTCAGTGAATTCATTTGGAAGGCTGGAAATGGCCCCAGCCTTGGGTGATGAACTGTTGATGATGTATCATGGGAGGCGTCCATTTGTATTGTTGGATGTCACTTTTTTTGGTGGCCTTCGCATATTGAAAGAGCACACAGAGGTGCAAGTCCTTTCCGATTCCTGCTTTCCAGGCATAGAGGTGCTATGTATTGACTCAGCTCAGAGGGCGCCCCAGAAGCGTCTTTGGAGGCTTAGATGGTTGGGGCTGGAAGCATAATCGCATTGCTTCAAAACATTCTGGATGTATGTGAGTATGGTGTGGCTGGTATATGTATGTATCCTGATTCCATTGCACAGGACCATTCCAATCAATTTCTCGATTTTTGTGCATGTACTCATCGCATTCTTCAATCTGTACGGCAGCTTGTGTCCAAGCCGCCAGGAGCAGAACAAGGTGTTGCGCACGCAGCTGGCTCAGGCCTCCGGGCCCTTGCACTGCGGCTGACTACATCGTCGCAACCAGTTGGTGCTTTATCACGCAGGGGGTGGCGGGGTGTCGCACTGTTTTTTCATGTGTTCTCGCGCCGCGGGACTTGTGAGTCATGTGAGTTGCTTTTGATTTCCTGTCATTCGATATGATATTTCACAAGCGGCCTGAGCAACATTGGCTGAAAGACCCTCCTTTGTAAGCCATTAAATCATCAACAGGTTCGCTCGCCTGGCTTCCATGGTCTATCCGCCCTCACGCTTGTCTCAGGCTCATCAACGCATTGAGATCCTGGAAGAAGAGAGGCCCAGTGACCTTGTGATTTTTCATTGGCTCAGAATCTCAGAAACCATCGCGGCAACTTCAAACTCTTGCCGTCATGAAAGCTGGGTAGTTAGCGATGAAGTGTCTTTGTGTTGTGCAGCGTGGGGACCGCGTTTTCCGACATAATCACTGAATGGCATACATGGGACAAGTCACAGGAGACATTAACCAAAACGATGGGTGGCAAGGATGTTGCCCTGTGGCTTGCTGCCTCGACATGCAGGCAACGCTTTTTGCATGAAGGCATCTACGATATTGTAAATGTCTTGTGTCAGTGCCTTATGGGGGAAGAACAGGCGCCGCCACTGAGCCAGCTTATATTTGCCTCCAACATGGTTGTCAAGGGTAGCTCTTATGGGCTCGGAGGTTTACATACAAAGCTGCCTTGACATGGCATATGATGGCATTATTCTTGAGGCAGATCTAAGACATGTCCCTCATGAGGCTCAAGGATGTTGTTGTCTAAGTGGAGTCTCAACCTTTCCAGACGCCACACCTGTCACCCATGCCACGGCTGTCACCTTTCCGGGCAACTCTCTAAGGTCGGAACCCAGCATGGAAAGCACTAAAAGCTTGCAGTCCAGCTCAGGAGGAGTCGACTTCAGATGGTTTGGGCATTCAACATAAACTATGATTGATCCCCGGAACTTATACAGAGTAAATTAGCCAGTGTTGGATGATGTTCCACTAGTTTTGTTTCAATATGATCGTCGAGGTTTGGGGACACCTGCCCCAACAGCACTGCTATGGTAAAAGCAGCATAGAATTGCAGTACCGCAAATCTTTGGGGGTCTGGTTGGGCAATTTCGAAACTGTGCATGTTGCTGAGCTATTGAGCCCATGAGACTGCAGTTGTCATCCAAGACACGGCCTGCAGGACAAGAGCTGGCAAAGTCATTTGGGGGTAGAGGCTCATGGTTATTTTTTCTCATTCTCCTCGTCCAAGCTTTCTTGAGCACCGTTGATTGGCCCGATGCCAGCATATTGGTACATGGCTGTCCTGAAAACAATGTGACGCACAGTCACACAGGCAACAGCCAATTCAAGGTCGCAAAGTGACACGATGGCTGCGACTTGCCTGCAATCATACGCGTGCGGCTTGCTCGAATCAAAACTTCGGGAATCGAAACGTGCTCATGACCATACATGGCACAGTGCGCTATACACGGCATGTATGAGGTGCATGTGCAGAGACGCGTGGCTTATCAAGGTTAATCAGTGGCACACATCTGATTATCTTTGGTATTTGCATTTTGGCCTCAGCTGCCAGGTGGGGTGCCTTGCATCTGATTTGAGCGGAGCCGATGGGGAAAAAGGATGAAAAAGGCGCTTTTGCAGTAGCTGGGCGTAGGTCCAACCTACACTGCAGGCGTTGTACGTGAACATCCCACCGCACAGTGGCGGTCAGCTCCACCAACCGCACTGCGGTGAAGCGGCTTTGGACAGACCGCCAAGTGAAGATCACCCGAGCTGCGGAACTAACATGCAGTGGTTATTTAGGGGATGAACGAAAGAAAGACACATGAGAAAAATACGGTGATGTGCGGCAGGACCATCATGGTTCATTCACATGTTGTTCTGTGTGTTTTGAAGCAGGCGAGTTCGTCGGGTCTTCGTTTTCACAGTTTGCCCTGCGGGGTCTTGTGGCAACAGGTCTGCTGCTCGCTAATGAGGCAATGAATCCGAGCCCCACTCGCAGCCTCTCAGGGATTTGTGGCGATCACCTCGGGCGAAAACGCGAAGCTCTTGCCAGGAAGTCAAAGGCCACACCACTCACGGCTCCAACCTCCCATGGTATACAAGTAGGAATGGGTCCCCTTATTGGGCACTTCAGCAGCCACACCCTCAATCTTCCCTGGGCTGGATTGCCAAAGCCCTGCCATGGCCAATGGGTAGCCGTTCAAGCTGCACGTGTGCTTGCAGCGAGGGGGCTGCCAACAATGCTGTCGAAAGCAGCTTGGATGCTATTAGACTTGGAATGACTTGGAGGTTGGTGGCATTCGGCGGTTGCATGTATGAACTCTATAGGGGAGGGGGATGAGTTTGGACTTGCTGGAGTGCAAGATCGTCAGATTCTTCCCATCGTATGGACAGTGACTGGGATGCCTTGCCACATCGAACGACCTTGTCCTTTTTTCTTTCATATGTGTTTCATTCATACCCCAGCACGGCACAAAAATAAAGAACGGGCGCAGGAAGTTGCCTGTTCCAAGTACTTTGGTTTTGCCATAGCAGTGCCCTCGCGCTCAGGCTACTGCTCAGAGAAGAACGTGGCCATCGCCCACTCAGGCACCTCGCGGCCTTTGCCCGAAGCGCTGCAGGAGTCTTCCCTGCAGTCGCGGCCGCCAGGTATGCGACCGTGTGAGCAACCGCCCCCCCAAAAAGAGCGATGAGCACATTTCGTACAGAGCGGTCGTGGATTTCAGACTTCACTTCAGGACTTTGGCTAAAACCCACCTACGCTCACAAGCAATAACCTGGTTGATCATGTCCTTTGGGTTACGGGACGGCAGACACACACGTCTGTTTTGCCTTGCTCCAACAGAGCACTTGGGCACTGGGAGGTCTTTGCACGCTTCCGGGCAATGGTTTTCCGATGGCAAGGCCCAAGAGATTGCAAGAACCCAGGAGGAAGCATTGCAGTTTGGACCTTGGTGCCACGGGTCATTTTGTGCCTTGGTGCCTTCATTCCACCACAAACTAGTGAATCTGGTTCGCAGTGCGCAGATCGGATGTGTGTTCGAAAACCTCAGCTCAGGATGCTCAGATGGTGATCCTTGAAGGAGGCTCCCGATTTTTTGGACATTGGATGGATGGAATGAAGACCGGATTCGGCATCCTTGAGCGTCCTGCACCTTGGACCTATCGTTTTTCGATTGATCCGTCAATCACACCGGGTGATGGATGTGAAGGTGGGAGGTCGGAGATCTCACACTGATGTGAAGTTCTTTTGCTATTTTTTCTTAAAAGCAACTTGTTACTACTAGTAAGGCACTTGTTGCTAGTAGCGATGCACTTGTTCCTAGTAGCTTCTTGTTAGGTGCTACCGGAGTGTTCGAGTTTAGGATCTCGTTTTTTCTGCGGAATGTATGACGCGGTGACTCGGTGACTGTGGAATCTCAGTGACTCTGTGACTGGGATTTTTCCGCGATGTCCTGAGGATGGTAGCCGCTATGAGGGCGACTTCCAGAATGACAAAGCGAGTTCCGCAGCATGAACGTTGGTTGTTCTTATTTGTTTTTATTTTTGTTTAAGGAACTCCTCCCGTCACTTGCTGCTTGACTGGCAGTGTTCATCCTTCTCGCCCTTCTGCTGGAAATTCAGCACCTGGCATAGTGGCCGTTTAAAGTTTGTGTAGTCTTTCTTTTGCTCTTCAATGTGGCAGTGTGTTTCAAACATTTTCAAACTATATATAGTTTCAATGTCCTTGCCGTTGATGCTTTCAATGCCCCCAGCCAGAGCTTTGTGCCAAGGTGGGCAGGGAACGTTGGCGTGTGCCTCTGGTGATGCCAGCCATCATTTGCTCAAAGCACGCTTTTATGTCATCAGTTTTGTCCTTCTGACCTGTTGAACTTACAAACTAGTTTAAACTATAATATACATATATATATATATATACAGTATATCTAGTTTGTTTTTTATATATAACTATATGTATATATGGTTTTAATACCTAAGGATCCAGTTGGAACGCCTTGGAGGGTTATAGTACGGTCTCAAGAACGGGGGGCCATCCGCCGTCAGTTCAACCACAACTCAAGATTTATACAGATGATCCATGTAAAAGATGCTAGGTCATTGCAACTTGACCTAGGTAAGAGGCTCCTAGGTAATGCTTTGACCTAGGCCATAAAGATGTTCCAAATCGTTGGGCGACCTTTTGAGTGTTGTGAGACATGGGTCGAGGTCTACGAAGGCCAATGGGCCGATGGCCAGGCGCACGGCTTTGGGCGCTTCACGCAAGCCAATGGCAGCTACTACGAGGGTCGCCGGGCCGTCGTCTGGAAGATGTGAAGCCACAGGCCACAGGTAAGGAATTTGTCACAAATTAAAAATCTACACAACTGGTCATCCAACAGGTGACTGATAAACTTTTGGTGGAACTTGCAACAGTGTGAAGGTTGCGCCTTGAGGTTGAACGATTGTTGGAGCGTGCGGGTGCTTCAAGAGGCCAACTGTTGCAGTGTGGTGACCCCCTTTGAGCATCTTCTCCCTTCAACAGCTTAGTTAGTAGCTGTGACCGGAACAGAAGACGGTTCAGAAACTAGCTCCGATTCAGGAACTATGATTCAGAAACTTGCGATTCTGAAACTACAGAGTGTCCAGATTCAGAAACTATCCGATTCGGAAACTGGGGGGTCGGGGGGGTGGGGTGGGGATCTAATGAAATGTTTGTGTTGATGTAGCGTGGACCGTGGACGTCTTCGTGTTTCACAGACCCGATTCAGAAACTATCCGATTCAGAATCCTATATAGTTTCCGATTCTGCGCTCCTTTTAGTTTCCGAATCCGCTCCTAGTTTTCGAATCCTAGTTTCCGAATCCGCCGTTCCAGTTTCCGAATCCGCATTTCTAGTTTCCGAATCCGCCGTTGACCGCTGTGACTGCACCTCCTCTCCCTATGTACATATATCTCCAGTATATGTACTGAAAATATTTATATAATATATATATATACATATGTATATACAGTATAACTGACAAGGTGGGACATTTGGAAACAAAGTGCTGGCTGCCGTTGCTAAGGCCAGTGGGCTTTTGACCAGCAAGAAGGATTTGGCATTGAAACCTGGCCAGATGGTTCCCGTAACTTGGCCCAAGCCTTCCAAGACTTGGCACGTTCGCCTTCGTCGAAACTTCGTCTCGGCAGGTTCAGCAACCCCAAACTCAGACAAAGGAATTCAGTTCTAGTGATTCTAGTGGTGGGACAGTATAACATGTTATTAGACACGTAGTTGGACATGATTTGTCCTCATCTTCTTCCATATCTCCACAGAAAACTGGCAGGGAGGGCTGCGCATTCCGGAATCCAAAGCTCGAAGGTGAAGAAAGGAATGGGACTAAAGGCGTTTGACACTCCGGCTTTCCAAAGGCAAAGCTCTTTTCGCCCAGCTACCCGAAAAAAACCCTGGCAGCCGGTGGGCGATTCAGGATTCGAAGGCTGCTACAAGGGCAACCTGAAGGAAGGCCCAGGAACCTTCACTTGGGCGAAGGGAGCTTCATACACCGGCGAGTTCAGCAACAATGTCCTTCATGGCTCTGGCGAATACAGGCGGGGCTGGTGAGCAAACAGTTGACCTAGTAAAACGGTACTTTGATTACCCCATCGATTCGTGGGGGCATCACCTGCCTGTAGCTGCGTTCTCACATGCCGCGTTTGATCATAATGTTTCTTGCGGCGACCACGGCCCGACCTGTCCCTTCAATGCCAGCTTCATGAGTGCACAACCGTGCACAACCCATGGCAAAAAGGTGGCCTGATGGCAGACACTACTCTGGTCAATGGCTGAACAATGCATTGAATGGCATGGGTGAAATGCATCTTGGCACGGGGTTGACGACAAGCCGTTGGCCTCTACAATTGGACTATATAGTCAGACAATGATATCCAGTGTTGAGTTATTTTGGCAGGCGACACTGATAAAGCAGTGTGCAGATGCGCTTGAGCCACACCCACAAGCTGAGTCCTGTTTTGTTAATCTCACTGCGGATCCGCAGGTGTTGTGTTTAGCTCAGAGTATGTTATCCCCGAAGTCAAGTGAAGATTACGGCCTCGTGGACCTGTGACTTTGACCAAGCCATTCACGCCATTTAGTGTCTTTTTTCTTGCCGCCAGTGAAGAGAAGCTAGATAGCTCGTTTGTTCACTTGGCTGCCTAGAGTGGCCAGAGCTATTCTGGGGATGATGGCCAAGGACCTGGCCAGACGGCCGGTGCTATCGAGGCCACTACCGGCAGGATCAAAAGCATGGAGAAGGAGATCATTGCTGTACTGTGACGTCAAACCAGAAGCGCCCAAAAGACTAGCTTTGTCGATCCGATACTGAAGCTGGATCTTGGACGATTTTGCTCTGAGCATCTCTGAGCCAGGATGCTTTCGCTGGGCCAATGGAAGCCAGTACAGCGGCCAATGGTTGCAAGGCAATGTGGGGATCCAGTTTTTAAGGCGGTCCAAGGTTTCCAAGTTCCAAGACGGATGAAAACAATGTGAAGTAGCCTTCTCGTGACAGGTTTCTTGTCATCAATACGTGAAGTGACCACTTGTGGTCACCTGATGTTGGACGTTCACGCACTGCAGACGCCTCAAACGCACGGTCTTGGAACAAATAGTGCTTGTGCTTGAGGAGGCCACCCGCCATATCTACAAAGCAAACAGCCGGCTGTCAGATGTGTTGATCGAACTTTTGTGCCCACTGAAAACTTGAAAGCAAACTTAAACTGCAAGCAAATGTCAACCGAGGTGTCAAGAACCTCCAACAACAAACAATGTCAAGACCACAAAGAACACGTCATATTTATATATATACAAAGATATTTGCCAATCAGGCGGGACAACCTCCCCCAAGTCTATTCCTTGAATGATCCTTTCCATTGCTGGCCTAGTGTGATCATGCTTCAGAGAAACAGTTTGACAGATTGGCAGGAAAGCAGCATGGCTTTGGAAGGTTCAAGGGGCGTGATGGCAAGGTGCCGGGCCGTGCTGGGTGGCTGGCTGCAAACCCCACCAAGCAGATGAAGCAGACAATCTGTGCTCACCCAGCTTGTGTCGTATTCTTTTGCCAGTTATGTTGACAAGCAAGTCCAGACCATGAAGAATGAAAGACTTGGCCCAGCGTCGGCAATTTGTCGCGCTCGCGGGCGGCAGCAGCCAGGTTCGAAGGGGTCAATGGGAAGATGGTGTGCTAATCGGCTGGTTAGAAGCTCCACGTCGGCCTAGCATGCTTATGGCGAGCTTTGAGTTTTTTAAACATTTCACATCTGATGTGGGAACAAGTGTTACCGCTTCAGGTGATGAAGAGCCAACGGACCGTTTCATCCCTAAGGGCGGAAAGCTTGCGTCACTGGGCTGACAATTCTTCGTGCAAAGGGCTTCCTCATGAAAGAGAGCGTTTTCTCAGACCGTTTGTGTCTAAATTGTGTCCTTCGCAACCTCCATGACTGCACTCACAGAAGCCACAGAGCTGTGCTCGGCAGCTCCCACCATCCAAGGTGATCCCGTTATAGGAAGAGCATGTTAGAGTTTGAATGTCAAATGGAAGTTTTTTGGGCATTTGGACTGTGGAGTCCTTACCAAGGTCATCCACACTGGAAACTTCTGAAGGCACGGTGTCAAATGCAGCCACTCACAATCTGTGAGTTGGTCGGCCTGAAGTCTAAGTCTAGTCTTGTATGTCATGGTTTGTATGCATATGTGTTTGGGTTGTGTGCTCCACGACAACACTTAGAAGCGGGAAGTTCCAAAGAAAGAAATATATACATCAGACGCCTCCCCTTGACCCCTCCACAAAAGCAGGCCAGTTGGTGCGATGATGGAGTCAAATTCAGGAGGGCTCAGAAGGGGTTCAATTCTCACTGCGCATTTCCTGAACCAACAGCTCCCAAGTGATTGACCTTATGGTTTTTATGTCTTGGCTCAATTGCTCAACTTCTTGTCGTTGAAGTTCTTGAACATTCGACTGCGAAGCAGAGGCTGACCCTATCGTAGTACTTCAATGCTCCTAGGTTTGGACATCCGATGTACTTTCACAGCGGCCACCGGTGCCAAAGTGCACCAATTCAGGGCGCTCAGAAGCACTGTGAATCGTATGCTGACCTGGGGCAAAGGTGCAGGTGAGTTGAGCGGAGCTCGAGGGTGTGGAAAGTCTCGGGAATTCCAAATGTTATCTCGTTCAAGGAGTCGAGTCGGGCTCCATTGATGTTGTGCTCATTGCTGACATTCCCGCAGCCATACCCACAAACCCTGAGCCGTTGCATGTTTTCCGCAGTTCATCATCACGTTCTACAACAGGAGCTGAAGCATCCATACGGAACACGGTGCGCAACCAATCGAAGCATCGAACACGCCTGAACACGCATGATGCCACTGGCGAAACCTTCAAACAGCTACTGTAGCATCCTTTGCTAAATAGGATGTAACTGCACAGCCCCGTCGCAACTCATGGAGGCTGCATTTGGAAGTTGACGTGTGTTTCAGGCGGGTTGCACTGCATACAGCTGCATACACGTGTCGATGTTGGGCATGCTGCCCAAAAGCTCCCAGAAACGTTCGATGTTGGGCTTGCTTCCCAGATGGTGCGGAAGCCCTTGCCGGACTACTATGCTGCCTTGGAGATTCGCGAGGAACCTTGGCAGTGCTCCCGGGACTCGCACTGGACGAAGCCTCAGGTTGATTTGGTCATATTTGGTCCAAGTTATATATATATATAGAGGAATTGAACCAAATTCAGGGTCAATAAAACCCTAGTTCATGAAGATTGTGTCGAATTATGGCATGGCCTAGGGCCTGGGGGGCCTCCAGCGAGAGCAATTGAACATCAGCTTGCCACCAGCGAAAAAGGTGTACAATTGGTTGCATCATTGTGTTCCATTGGCTTGTTCTGAGTTTGCACGTGTGTGGAATCAGTTACAACCTTTCGCTATGCTTCGCGTGGCTTCCAAGCGCCAGGAAGCCGATGAAGTGACCATCAAGAAGGCTTACCGTGCCTCAGCGGATATGTGTCGTCACCGGAAGGAGGTGGCGGTAGAGGTGACGGTAGCAGTTGTGGATGCAGTAATTATCACGGATATGTGGAGCAAATGTCAAGAGTGGTAAACAATCCATAGAAAATCAGGGCTACTGGGTCCTTTGACGCCAAGAGTTTCAAGAATGCAACCTCAAGGGTTTGGGCCCAGAGCCAGCTGGCACGTTGACATTGCCGAGGACGCCTGGTCCTCCAATGGCATCCTGACCGAAATCCTGCAGACCGCGAAACTGCTGAGGATCGGAGACTAAATGTTTGAAATTACATGTAGATCATGTAGATGTAGTGATTTTCAAAAGCCAGTGTCAGTGCCAGGGTGAGCGCACCAGCCAGGAAAAGATCCGATTGCTAAATATTGCATACGAGACCGTAACCAATCCAATCAAGCCAGGGCCTCGGGCTAAACAAGAACACAAGCATTTGACGCGGTCATTTGACTAAACTACCTCCGAATGCTTCCACACTTTCTGGTAAAGAGAGTGACCTTCCACGTCTTGCGCACAATCCATTGCATCCAGGAATCAGATGCGTGATTCATGGGTCTCTAAAGTCTAGAGAAAACAAGGAAGGAGAACTGAGCGAAGCAGACAGAGAGGAAGATTCTAAGAACTGAGGCGTGAAACCTACGATCTGCAGCGAGCAGCATCCAGTAGGCCACTGGGTGACAAATCCATCAGACTTGTCGAACCTCCACACACGGCTCAAGAATTCCTACACTTGCAAAAGACGAGGTTGAGTTGAGACGCACAACCATAATCAAATCATGAACAGATGAAGTCTAATGATGTTTAACGTCAAGGTGTTGGTTGGGTTTGTTCCTCGCAGTGCCACATTGGACCCACCGGTTTCTCCTTCCCTGTGGCGCAGGAAGAGCAAGGCAAAGCCACGATCGGCTCCGAGAGTGGAAGTCCCCAAAGAGCCGGGCTGCGCGGGCGGCTCCGGGAGTCTCGTTCGCGGATCCTCGCGGATCCTCGGGGGGAGTTCGGGAGTTCGGAACCGGTGGGAAATCGGTGGAAGATGCCCTGCAGTTCCTTCGTTGACATATGAGCTGAGGAACAAGGAACGCAGGCGCAGGTGGAGCTAGTTTGTGGTGATCGCATGTCTGGCAACCCTCAAATGGCTCGGATAATGTAGAACCGCGTAGAACAACAGAAGACACAGAAGTCAATAACAACAGAATAGTAATTTGCCTCAGAAATTGACTTGCAGCTGTCACCACCCCTTGAAACATCCTTATCTAAGCTTTTCCACCACCCATATATACATATAATTATAGCGGTCCCGGGCTGCTGAGGTTTATGATGACACCTCTCGGATATCCGGAATGCTTTGTCCGAAGCTGCTGGGATGTTCATGGGAGGCGGCTACCGCTGTCCCTTCTACCGCTGTCCTTTTGGTAAGGGTGCTCCTTGTGAGAGGGCTGGTCGGACTAGAAGCCTAAAATGGCCTAAAAGCCTTGCTAGTCTAGTGGCCCTCACGGTGCCCATCTTGGATACTTTGGCAACTGGAAAAGCCGGTGAGAGCTGTGCACTGTGCACCCAAAACAGCAGTGGGATTGTTGCGTTCACAGAATTTCACAGATGACAAATGGACCGTTTGGTTTTTGGCCGAGGAGCAGCCAGAGAAGTAGAGAAGGAGGGATTAGAGACCGCCAACGCCCCGCAGCAAAGGCCTTGGCAGGCGCGTGGTGGTGCACTCGAGGAGCTCCTTGGCTCCTCTAGAAGCAATGGCCTCCAACCTGCTAGCGATGGCTTCCTTGGTGTGTTTCCTGGAGAGTGGATGTTGTTTCCTCTTACGTACCAGTGGTTGGTTTGCATGTTTGTCCCCGGGTGTGTGCAGGTGCTTTTCCCCTTTTTCCCTCTTACCAGTGGTGGGAATTGAGGTCACATAGGTCACCATTTTTTACTTCAATCGCTTGATTGAAGTACCTGAAATGTCTGAAAGTGGCTCAGTAGCGGAAGAGCCCAGAGTGTCCCCCAGGAACACCTTCAAACTCTGAGGCGACGACCCAGAGTCGAACTTCCAGAGCTTCTTCGCGAGCACCAAGTTGGCACTATGGTGGCTCCCGGAGGCTTGAGGAGATTGGTTTGCAGTTGCAGCAGACCACTGTCATGACCATGATTTTTGCAGTGTCAAGATCAAGCGTGGTGGGCATGGGCGATGAATGTGTGTCCAGACTCCAGACCACAAGGATCAGGAAATGTAGAATGTCGATTGCTTGGCTATGCGGCTTAGCTACTGTTACGCGAGCTGCCGGCAAACGAGGTGAACAACATGTGTCGTATTCGGAAGTTGGGCTCCAAAGCCCGCGGGGACAAGCGGGGTGCAGCAGCAGGCAGGGTGAGAGTTCTGAGTCATTGGATTTGCCTTTGGGCATTCGATGGTTGAGATTGTTGTGGACTGTTACGACTTCAACCTGGGTCAGTCTCGAACCAATGTCCAGGGAAAGTGTAGACTTGAGCTATGTGGAGTGCTATTAGGGCCTGGGTTTAAAGTCCAGGCCGGGCTGGCGGATTGAACATGGCCTTCGACCCGCAGAAGGCCAAGACTGCTGGCGCTGAAGGTGCCGGGTGGGGCACTCTGGGTTTGCAAACTTCAAGGCCAACAACAGAAGAGTGAATTGATGTGAATTGTGTCGTCCTGATCATCCATACGCCGGTGCAGAAACCTTCCCGTAGTGGTGAACCTATTATAAGTTAATTACAAGATAATTATTATAAGTTATTATTACTATAGAATCTATTATTCAATTCAGACTATCGATGGGGAAGGCTATTGCTGGCAATCCTTAGGGAGACCGAGGTTGCACTTGGCATGGCACTTGGCGGTAAGGGTAGTAGAAGCTTACCGAGGAAGGGCCTAAAGATGATCGTCAGCTTTTTCCGAACGAAAGTGGATTGCTATTTGGAAGAGTGCAAGGTAGTGAAGTCCGTGTGGAAACCCAGGAGAAGACCCTTTTTACACAGAAGGAGTTGGCCGCATCAGAAGCATCTGAAAAGCTTTGTTGTGTATCGGGACAAGCCGTGCACGTGTGTGACATCCGTTTGACCTCAAGTAGGTGCTTCGGCAGTCGGAAGAGTAGGTGCTTCGGCAACCTCTCACCACTTCCAAGGTATGGCACCTGCAAACAAGGGTCAGAAGGCCTGACTGTCAGCGCTGTGGGAGAAGTGGATAGTTTGATGGAATTCACATTGACCGTTCCATGATGCTGTGCTGGAGCTTCAATGTGCAGCTCCAGCATCACCTGTAGATGCAGTAGGCCAATGCAAGTGTGCATGCACAGAGAATGCGTGCAACAAATGGGCAAGTCAGCTTCTGTTTTCTCATCCCGCAACACCTTCCAAACCTGCATGCCATGGAAGCCTGCTTTTTGGCCAAAGCATGGGAAGCCACCTACAAAGCTTCAATCATCCGCACCTCATCAAGGCCAGCTTCCTGGCCAACGCATTTTTGCTAGTTTCTTCCGCCGTTTCTTCCAGCAGTGCCTTTCCAAATCCCAAGGCGCCAGTAGAGCTAGCTGTGGTGGCCCTTTTTCTTCACATGTTTTTACCCGCCCACCCCGGGTCTGAAACACCTGCATGTTGTCAAAGCCAGCTTGTTGACCGTGTGTTTTTGCTTCCCTTCAAGCCTTCCTTCCGGGATTGCCTTTCCACATCTCAAGATGCTCCTCTTCAAGCCTTTTCTTCCAGCAGGGCCTTTCCAAATCGTATCCAAACATGTTTGCTTTGTTTCTTCGCCTGTCTTTCAGCAACACACGACGGATAGGATAGGTTCCTGTCTCATAGTGGCACGCTGAGGAATACCGTACGGTATACCGATAACTTCCCTTTTGGGGGAAGTCTGAAGTGAACTGGTTGTGCGTCCAACAGCTTTGGCATAATCCCCCGTATGGGTCCGTATGAGATTTGTGAGCGCTCACTGCTTCGCTCAAACTTGCTCTGTGCGGGCTGATCCATGCTCTCGAAAGAGGAGCCGCATTGAAACATCAATTCCAGTGCACCTGTTTGCCTCCAAAAGAAGAATCTAGCCGTGTCTAACTGTCTTGCTTGTCCGCCACAACCACATGCATTTCCGCAGCTCCACTGCTTTGGGCTTGTCAAGTTTGCTGTTTGGGTAGCAGCTTTGCCGCTTAACCATACCTTCAGTCCATGCACGTTTCGCTGATTTGGACGCAGGCCGACAGCGTAAACTTTGTGACCAAGGAGAGCCCAGAGAAGATCGAACGATTTCGCCGCCAATCCATAATCCATATGGCAGAACCCCCGATGTAGTCATGTGCTTCAGAGGAAGGAACACGTTTTTGCTGTAGTCATGTCATGCACATACAAGAACTGTTTTCTCTTTATATGGGAGGGTGTTCTGCAAGCGATTTCCATCAAGAAAGTTCATGTGGCTTCCCAAACATATGATTAAATCAAAACGGGCTCGGTTGGAACGATTTGGTCGAACATGCTTTCAGGTTCTCTGTTGTGACGTTTGACTGCCACTTGACCGTACGGTGCACACGAAACCCGATTGAGGCGAGTCCCACTTGCGAAGGAGCGCTTGGATCCCCAGGAAGTGTGAGAAACCCGTGCAATGAAGGCAAATGCTAATTGCAGCTGTTTTCTTTCATACCCTTTCCGCAGGGAGTTTTCGCTTCATGTTTCTTCATGTTTTTTCCGCTTGATGGGCACATCCTGCGGCCTCAAACGCGAGATTTGAATCGATTTGGGCGCCAAAGACCGTGGATGAGCACCGCCGGGTTGTGTGTGTGTGTATGTATTGGCCGGTTGGGTGATACTGGTTCAGTTCTGTTTATGTATATAACAATATATATATATATATATATGCCAGCTGCTGTGTGTCTTTTCATCGTTAGGATGCCTTGCTGGATAAGGCTTCGTTTCGAGTCAGCCAGTCAAAGAGGGCCGGCATCTTGGAGTTGTGAGCAGCGAAGACCAGCCGCGAACGGCCAATTTGCAAATGCTGGTTGATCTGGGTAAATCAGACGAATAACCGATCATGTTCTTTCAAGCAGCATATCCCTCGATCTAATCTCAAAAGCGCTTTCATAAATATGACGGCACCAGATGATGAAGTTCATGTTTGCACCTCCCTCGGACACCAAGGCAGTACCTAGCCTTTTTCCCTCCCTCACATTTGAGAGCTTGTGCCTTGGAGGGTCCGAACTGGAAAGCTTCGAAGCAGAGACTCCACTGAAGCAGTCAAGCATAGGTCAGACGATCCGTGAAGCACCGGAGACTGTGAAACCAACGACTGAGGTGGTTCCTTTCCTGGAGGAAGCTGAGGACTCTCAGAGTGAAATGACCCGTCTGTGGATGTTTGTGGCTCAAGCTTCTCGGTGTCCGATTTCGTCAGTGGAACCAAGGAACTCAAAAAAAACACAGGGTTGAGCACTCCAACGACGTTGGGAATATATAACGTATATCTAGCTAAGGCTATGTAAATATATATATATATATGTATAAACTTCATACAGCATCATACATGTATGTTTTACATATTTAGTTAGTTAGTTAGTTTTTTTGAGGTGGTAATGTGATTTTGTAAAGTCTCAAGGTTTGATCATGTCTCATCCACGTATCGGCATCACAGCCTCCAAGGACAGAGTCTTGGATTTCCTCTTCGTCGATTTTGCCAGCATGCCTGAGCCCTGGCAGCGGAACAGGAGCTAACAGCTGGAAGAAGACTGTCGTTCAGCGAACCGTTCGGACAGTTGGCACATGTTGGCACCCATTGAAATCCATGAAAACAATATCACAAGCACATGTGTATAATGCAAGGCTCCGGGCTCCAGACAAGCACAGGTGTGAGTGCATTTGCCCATCAGCTGCAGGTTCAAATTCATCACTTTGGAAGAGGTGTTGCAGCCCATTTTCAGCAGCGCGCTTGTCGTGTGCTTTTCCTGATGCAATGTCACACGTTGGGCTTTTTGATAGGAGTCTCCACCCTTTTTGGGGGAGGGTCGGTTAGATCCGATTGAGCAGATGTCATCCATGACTGTGGGATTCCATAACTGTGGGATCAGATGCTTGCTTGGCTCGTCAGTGGGACCGAGGCGCTGAAGAAGCCGGTGTGTGGCGGAAGCCTCAAGTCGACCTGAGTGCCGAACCTGCTACTTTAGCATGCAGCATGTCTCGTTTGCTTGCTCGTTTACCTTCGGGGCGTCCTTTGCACGAGGCATATTTATCAAGGCACACACGCTTGCAGGTGGTACACACTTGTTTTACAATCCAAATGGGCATGACGGCCCCGCAAATGCGCCAACAAACCTGTGGTCATTTCACGTGTTGTGATATTTTGTGTGCATTTGTTTTGGATGCCTATCTTGGAGACTTGAAAACGGCAGTGCCCAAATTGGTTGAGGATTGAACTGGCAAAGTTGCAAGATGACGAGGCGGTCAAGAGCCACTTTAAAGAGGCTCGGAACTTTTGACTGCCTCAACTACTTTGCACAGTGTTGGCTGCGGCGCACTAAGGAGAGTAAAAACATAAGAATTCTATATCCATAGCTTACGTATATATATATATATCCGACGGGCTGATTCCTTGTGGATTCGTTCCGCATTCGTTGCGATTTCCGACCACAGAAGCCCTTCCAAACACTCCCCAGTCTAGGCAAGCTCCAGAGGCCGGCACCATTTTCCTGTGCAGGTGATGGGCAAGGACGTTTGGGATGTAGAAGATTTCCAGGCACCAGGAATGTCAAGTTTGCATTCCCACATGTGCCAGTTTCAGATGTTAGACGCGTGCTTTTGTGTGGCTTTTGAGAGATAATTGGCAGCGCAGTGCAATCTATTGACATCTTGGCTGAAGCACTTCCTGCGATTAGATGTGGGAGAGCAGTCGATGACGGAGTGACACACTTCAAGAACCCAGTGCTAACACCTTTTTTTGGTGTTGGATGCCACGAACACACACACACAGATATATACATATATATTATATATATATAGCTTCTTCATGATGATGTTGAAGTGCAGACGCCAGCAGGTTCTTCGACATACCTTGCACCAACAGGGCATCTCGCTTTAGAAAATTGCAATAAAGCCCATTGACTAAGTGTCAAAGACAAAACTGGTGCGAATATGCAGAAAGAACAATGAGATGGTGCAACTTTCTTGGTTTCAGGCCCACCACGCTGGAAGGATGAGAGGGGTGTAGACCGCCATGGCCTGGAGCACGCCCTCGTTGGCCGCATGGAGTGGGGAGTTTCCTCCAGCAAACTCCAGTGGAGGGCAATGGGAGCCTTGCTGCGCAAGCTTGTGTTCCATATGTATCCATGTGTGACAAACTTTCACACAGCATTAGGACCCAAGATGCCGTCACTTTGTGGGGGGGGGGGGCAAGGTGGGACCGGCACCGGTGGTTGACCAGGCAGCCACTCAGTTGAGAAACTAAGGAACACTTTGCCTTGGAGAGCTTCCGCTTATCCACAGTGGTCTTTTGCGTGTTTTTCTCAGAAAAGGGTCCCACCGGGCCACTTGAGCACCACTAACATGCGTTCAATTCCCAATCATGGCCAAAGAAACGCAATGGTTTCGTCACAGCTTTGCTTGTTTGACGCCACGCCTCTGGAGCCTCCTGACACATCTTCCCCGCACATAGGGCTTCCTTGAGATGGTTTGTTAACAACAGAATTCCTGTTTTGAGATGGTCCTCAAACCAGGAGTTGAGTTTGCTGAGGTCGGCATCCTCGTGTCCTTGTTTACCCTCCTCATCCTTTGCAAGGTGCACATCCGTGCAGAGCCCAGATACATTACATTACTCAATTTGCAGCGACAGCTTCTAGAGTGGCAGGGTGCCAAGATTGGTCCAAGATGTGGGGCGGGCGCAAGCAAGTGTCGAACAGTTATGGAAATGGGCGGATTCGTAATGATGAGGATCTTTTATGATCATTCATGATTCTTCATCCAACCGCTTTTCGATGTGAAACGCACAGCTCAGCCAACCACCTGGCTGAGGTGCACATGAACAGACCCGGCCATGCGTGATGTTTTTGATATTGCTTTTGGCGCCTCATGGCCTGAGTTTTTGTGGAAGATGGGCCCTTGGAAGACAATTTTCCTTTACAACCAGGTTGTGTTCCACTTCCATGTTAGCGAGTTGGAGGATATGTTGCCTTGCTCCTGTTCATGGCACCTTCCGGCTTGCTCTATCACTCAACTAGGTTATCATTCAAACGTGTCAAGGTATATGGTGATGTCTCAACATGTCAAGGAACCTGGGTGGCCTTGCGGTCAGTGGCTTCCTGGCTAGCTTCGGAAGCTATGGCCGAGCAGCTTCCACTTTGTCAGATCTGGCCGTGGAGATCCGGGATGTCCAGGAGAGTCTGGGCAGAGGCGGATGTATGAAAGTCTTCCCTTGGCCAGTGCTCATATGTTCAAGACCTGCGTGGAATGGTTGCAATTCGACCATCCGGATGTCGAGTGGGGATCAGCAGGCCGATAAGGCTAAGGTACTGTATATCCAGCCAGAGGTAGAGACGTGTTTCGAAGGCTGCCCACCCAGTAAACCCAAGTGCTTTTTCAATTGTTTGTCTTCACTGCCCAAGCACCTCTCTTTGCGCAGGATATGTCAGCAGCATTGAATATCTCCAGTGGATCTTTCCAACACAACCTGGAGCGATGGTTCACTGGAGCTTCCATGTCCCTAACATTCCTTAACAGATTCACGAGCATGCCTCATGGCCCTCATATGCATGTGTGTTAACTTTGCCGTGTCCATGTTTTTTGTAACTTGGAGCCTGATAGCATCGCGCATTTGCAGACGGGCCTCATGAAGACGTATTTGTAGTTTGATCGAGCTCGGACATGTGAGTTTCTAGAGCACAAGCATGTGCACATGGCAGAAGGTAGGTGACGGCAGTGGAACAAGCTTGAGCCAGACAAAGTGCAATATATTGTTCGTAGAAAAGCCACTTTCAGTGAAGGTGAAGGTGCATTCTCCCGCATCAACTGCAGGACCGCTTGTACACCGAGTGCCCAAATACAACCCATGAGTTCTTGGGAGATTCAGTGACAGCGAGAAAGCAAGAAGCACGAGAAGCGCAGGCAAGGGTCTCAGAATGGAGAGCGCCTTAGAAAGGTTTGACAGGTGCGCGGGCTCGGATTGCACCAATTCACCCCAATGTGAGGTAAGGGCCAGTCTGGATAAGCTGTGTGCTGGAGTTCCTGAGTGCAGAAAACACCTTGCTTGCCGCCACGGCTACGGTCGGCTCCGCCCTGGGAGAGGACACCGCGCTGGTGCTCCTGAAGCAGCTCAGCGGTATCCCTCAGTGGCTGACGCAAAGGACCAAGGACTGCCACACCCCAAATTCCAAGTTGGAAACCCTCATGCCGGTGTGAGGAGAGGAAAGTGTATGAGAGTGTATATGCAGTATACACAGTGTCTAGTACTTGCTTTTTCTTGACTTGGAGCCAGAGTTTCATTGGCGAGAATTTGGACTGGAAAGGGCAAGGAATCAGAGGAAGATGCTGTCAGTTTCAGTTGGTCGAGGACATCATATCCATGGCAGCCTTGGTGGCACTCAGCCACTCGGCCCCCGTAAGCCATGATGTTCCACTTGAGTTAGTGGTTAGCGCATGTTTTGCTGGCCTTTGGTGATAAAAAAGCCTGAGAAACCCTTGCAATGAGGCTTTGGGACGCCATTGGTTTTGCTTCTCATCTCCTACCTTGCCATTTGCATGCTGATTGGCGTTGCAGAATGTGCTGGTCCCAAATGCATCAGGCGCTGCAGTTGCTGCCACTGACTCAGGGAAATGACGGGCTGGTGAGGCAGGCTTACTTTCACAGCCCCTTTTGCATGGCTCTGGTTGTCGCAGACCTCATGACCTTTTTTCGTCGCCAGCAATGGCAAACACTGTCTCTACGGTTGAGCTTTCCAGATCACCTCACGTTGCCCAGGTCAAATCGCTTGTGTAGCCGTCAGCTGCATTTCTCCAACGATCTTACTCATCAGCATCATTGTGGCTCTGGAGTTGGGTTTTTCAATGATGTCCAGCGCTTTTTGCAAAAACCCAACCTTGGTGGTTTTGATCCTTGGCTTCAATTTGCAAGCTGTGAGAAAGTGCTGAAATTGCCAGGCTTTAAGTCCTTGACTGGGGGTCTGGATCATGATACGAAGAACTGTTCTGAACCCAGCACAACTTTCCAATGAGTGGACTCACCGAGTCACAATCCAAAAAGCCGAACTGCGATTTCTGTTGAGGCCTTTGGTTGTGTCACCCGCTGTGAAAAAGAAAACCACATAAGAACATATTAAGAACACCCGTTGTGTCACCCGCTGTGAAAAAGAAAACCACATAAGAACATATTAAGAACACCCGTTGTGTCACCCGCTGTGAAAAAGAAAACCACATAAGAACATATTAAGAACACCCGGGTGTGAAACACCTTCCTCCTTTTTCTGAGGAGCTATGCTGACGTGGCCTTTGGGCATGGCTCCCCAACGTCGAACTTGACGAGGCAATTTTTGGACAAGGAGTCGGCGGTGATGGCCCTGAAGGACATGAAGGTCATCCCACGTGTCGGGCGTTTGCACACTTGATGCGTGTTCTGTGCACATCGAGCCGAAAGAGGCAGATGAAACTAAGGTCATTCAAAACCACTTCGCTTTGTGGCAAGAGTGGGTGCTTCAGCCGCATGAAATTCAAGCCTTCAGTAATTCAGCACACTTACATAGATGTTCCATGATTTTCCCTTTGGTGACCTCCTCTGGTCCCATAGCCCTTCTTGGACCTATTTGAGTCATTTGGTAGCTTATTCTATGGCGTTCTCCAGTTTATTGTCCGATTCATTTGCCATCAGCCATCTCACTGTCACTAGTTATGTTCACAGTTCTGGTTGGCAAGCTCATTCTCAGGTCCCTCACAAGCTTTAGGGCACATCAGCCAAGGTAGGTACTTATGGCGATGCCATTCAGAGGAGTTGTCCCACATGGGATGCCTTGAATGCGCCTTGCCTCAAGTGACTGCCATGTGTTCCGTTGATGTGTATCAAGTTTTGCCAGCCAGTGGGTGGAAGAATGCTGGTGTTGACATGCAAGGCATTCCCGTTTCGCATTTGAGTTGGGTTTCGGCTCTCATAACTTGGCCGTGAAGAGGGCGTCACATACTGTATATCATTCTGCCATCAAGGTCTCCCAAAATATTCAGATTATGGACGCTGCTTGGCTTTGATCGCAGCCAGCATCTCTTGCTTGGTGTAGCAGCGTAGCACGGTGGTTGGCTTCGCCGGGGAGGATGAACCTGGGTCGATCGAAGCATCACCTTGCACAATAGCATGCCTGTCTTTGCAGGAGGCCTTCTTCAATGCAAAGGGCAATTTTCAAGCGATCCCTTCCTCACCATGCCTGCACTCATGCGGCAAGGGACTCCAACCGGAGTTGCCGGAGCCCCCTCACAAGGCCTCCTTTGGTCAAAGCCTAGAACACATCCAGTACATTGTTGTATTGTTTGCTTGCACCCACACCCCCACCCAAAAGAATAAACCCAAACACCTGCAATTCTGAGGGATGCAAAAGCTTATGTCTTACGGGCAAAATTCGCATTTGTCTAATGCTTGGAAGCCTGCCGGCCCGATGGGCAACACATGTCCGAGGATGTTCGGCGTCGCAGGGTGTGTTTCAATGACGGGAAACTTCTAAGCCTAGTTGTCTAAACCAGGCAGCAGTTTGTTTCATTCATGTGTGGATCTCAGATTGGCGTGAGTCGTTGTCAAGGCCGGATTAAAAACCTCGCTGTCGATCCTGGAGCCAACCCATTTGCAGCTTGGACCAGTCGAAGAGAGTATCACAGCGTGGCTAGAGGGCTCCGACTGTGGTATATATGATGGAGCTGACTGGGTGGTCGAACGTGCCACGGCAGTGGTCCTGCTGTTGGTTGTTTTGGGTTGTGCTTGCATTTGATCCTGGCACTCACCAGTGCCAGGTATCCATACTACAACTATACTGTGGACAACCTTTTGTGTGGCACTGCTATTTCCAAAATGACTGTTGCTCGGCATCGTGGCAGTCTTGGGCAGGGCACTGTGGAGTGGGCCCGGCGGATGTTTTCAAGGTGCGTACAGAGGGAGTACCAGATGCAGGTACAGCACTGGGATGCACATGGTCAATAAGAAGGAATACCCTGAACCCCTTTTCTGTGGGCATGTGTGATGAAATGGGTGTGGGATGATGTGGGACAATCTTTTTCAGCAATGGCTGCTTTGTTGGGGGGTCAGGTTGGGGTCTTTCCCCTCAAACATCAGGTGCGTCACTCAGGTCTTGATGGTCTTCCAGTTGGCCCTCGGGCTTCTGGGTCTCCCCGTGCTCGCGTGTGCGGCCAGTTGCTTGCTGGACAGCTTGGTCGCAGAGAGGACCTGGGAGCTGCCTGAACAAAGTTACCTCTCAGAGTCCAAGCATCAACGAGTTATGGCACGAAACATAGAGTTGAACAGCTTTGCCAATCAACAGGCAATGATCCGACTGCCAGAGAGATTGCATGTTTGTTAGTGTTCCCTGCAGGCAAGGTTTCGATCTGCTCCAGACAGAGGAGACGCAAGAAGAGCTCAAAAATGGGGGCAGCTGGCTGCCATGGGGTAGTTCCAGCTGAGACTCCCTGCGTCAAGTTTGAAGCATTCAAAGGCCTTCCTTCTCACAAAGCCCGGTATGTTCACTACCACCTGCCAGATCTTGAAAGCAAAGGCTTCTCTGGCAGAGATGACCCCGAAATTGTACAAAGGTGAGCCCTGAAAGGCAAATGCCGAATTCAGCCACAAAGTGCTGTTTTCTCCGGGAACTCCCCAGAACTCAACCGATTTCACACGGGTGTTCACGGACATATCGAACTGCACATGGGTTCAGCAGACATGCTCTTGCGGTCTTGGAAAAGTGTTGTAAAGCCTGGACACCTTGTTGAGATTTAAATTTGCAAGCTTGAGAGCGTACTATATTTAATTATTTGTTCAAAGGGCTTGCAGAAAGGATACGTCTTCCCTATCTATGTACACGGCGTTTTTGCACTTTTGCACAGGAGGTTCCAAAAAAGATGGCAGCCCATTGAGCCACTTATTCCCCAGACTGGTGAAGAGCGCTGGAATGGGCCAAACATGAAATATGTCCCAATGTGGCAAGGAGAAAGAAGCTTAATGCACTGACGCTTTGTTGATTGTTGGAAGGCAGGTAGAGAGTCGAGAGTGTCGTGTCATCCGTGCTTGCACGTCTACCGCTGCTTGACGAGAAAAGGGGTGCCACCTTCAACAAGGGAAAGCACAACGCAGATGACATGAAATGACAAGAAGCTGAACTAGAGACCGAAAGCTAAGCTGAGAAATATGTCGATGAGTATCCCGGTCAGGCGTATTTTGAAGGGCATTGGGCAACCTTTGAGTACAACGCCGAGGACCGTCACAGTCAAAGGAGTGTGCAGGATGGCAAAGGTGGAGTGCCCATGGGTGCCCTGAAGATCATCCAGTTCTAAAGCAGCGAGTCTTTCACAAACAGGATCATCATTCTGAGTCTCATTGCTGGGATGCATTTCGGTAGGAAAAGAAGGCGCGCATGAGGCGAGCCTTTGCCTGTGACCATGCATGCCTGGCAAAGAGATCAAACGAAATATCAAAGGAGTGGCTCAGGGACATCTTAGAAGTTAAAGCTGTGTGGACGAGGGTGCGGTTGGCTCAGATTAGGATGTCATGCCTTCCACTATCGGCCAGCTTGAACCACAGGCCTTAGGCCACGTCCAGTCTTTGCATCAGTTCAGTCTGTTTTACGCTTCCACTACTTCCTCTCAGCTTAGCATCGCTCGGCGTCTCCCCATGTGATTCGGGCATCGTCCCATGTCTCGGCGAGGCCAAAGCAAGAGAGGCTTGCCAAGCAGCTGCGAGCTACTCCAAAGGCTGAGGAGGCGGTGTCACGCTGCAAGCACAACGGTTTGCGGTTTGCAATGGTTGATAACGGTTGGTACTGTAATTAGGGACCTCTTCAAGCACCTGATTGCTTGAGCCGACGGGATGCGGAAGCTCTCTGAGTTGTGTGAGTTGTGCCCAACATTTAGTTGCCTTGAAGTGGAATCCTTCTTTGGTCTTACTATGGCCCGAGTCTTTTGCAGGACTGTCCGAGGATTCACTTCGAGAAAACTCTTGAATCTTGAACAAGCTGGGCTGTGTCTCTTTGCTGGGCTGAATTGTGCTGAATGTTTGAACGCAGGTGGTGGCAGCTGTAGCCAAGACAGATGAGAGTGAGCTGTTGCAACCTTAGAGTCCAGTGCTCCGTGCGAGTCCAAATCTCACCCTGTTGCTCTTCGGAAACAGGCTAGTGATGCGGGAGGTCCTCCAGTCACCATCATCCGACGGGGTTTCGTCAGCCTCCACAGCGTAAAAAAGTCCATCTACTGGATGCCATTGCCCCAGCGTGTAGCAGACAGGGCGGGCCTCCATCTAAGGCAGCGCTTGCCGGTCGGTGCCCTTGCTCGAGCTCTGACGGCTCTTGCCAAGGTGGGGTTGGTTAGAAATTGATACGAAAGTTTCATGTCTTCTTTTTGGTTCCCACAGCACAGGCACGCTGCAAAACTTGCGTGATCCTGGCAAATGTTAAGTTTTGTTGGTGGCAGGTTAGAGAGTCCTTACTTTCTGAATATGTTTATTTTAAAAGTCCTGGGCAGACAAGCAGCTTGCTGCACTTCTCTCGTGCAGTTCCATCTTGCCGTGGCTGACCTGCCATATTGCCAGCCGTCGGGTAGATGACGTACCCCGAAACATCCCGAAACAGGATCAGCATGAATCAGCATTTCCCAGGCCTCCTCAACGGATGGAGAGGACTGGGCAGCAACGTCTGACGCAATGTTATGCTTGACGGTCAATGGCCAGTGTCGAAGACGCGAAAACTCCTGTGGATGATTTCTGCGCCTTTGCTGCACGAGGCAGGCGAAGCAACCTCAGCGCAGATTCAGCTCTTAGCCGCTTTGCCGGATTGCCCAGAAGAGATTTGGATTTCTACGCTCGCTGGAAGATAGGGCCATGTTTGCAGAAATGCGCCAATCCGTTAGAAGAGAACAGATGCGCACACAAGGCAGAGCTTCTCCAGCACAGGGTTATTCAATCCATATTGGGATCAATAAGAGAAGTGCTTCGATGCTTTATGAGTGATACCTTGCAGCCAGCCCAGCTCCTGAGACGTTTGAATTGAAATTTACTGTTTTTTTGGATGTTTTTGGTGTTATATATTTGTATTCAAACCATCCTTGCGAAAGCCCAGGCGCGCTGTTGGGAAAGGTGAGGAGGCAGGTTAACTGGGCGATTTGCAATCCGGAGTGGTCGAAGCAATGGTTGCCCGAGGGTTTGCCACGTATTTGTACAGGATAAGTTGACAGTTCAACGTTTTAACCAATAAGCGTTGACCAGATGTGCCAGGAGAAATGTGACATTCCGGCCTTCGAACTCCTTCATAGTGCGGAGAAAGCATGGGCCCCAGCGGCTGCCGCACTGCTGAGCTACCTGGGCAGTTGCAAAATGTCTCTTCAGTCGCGCCTAGCTTCTGTTTGATACCGATGTGTGACATGAAACATGCCTTTGCCTACCCTTTTGGGGAAGAACTCCCATGATTAGAGTTGGTACAGAGGTGCTTGGGCTAATGCCTTCCCTTCACTCCAGTCGGCACATTTAGCAGACTCGACTGTGATTCCAGTGCCAAGGTGCTGGATTTGGGAGGCGCAGTTGGGTGGTCCATTGCTTCCGGACATCTCCTGGGTCCCAGAGAAGATTCATAAGATGTTTAAGCATTGCAGAGACCATTCTTTTGAAAAAACCTAACCTTTCTGCAAGACGTGGGTGTGCATTTGAATAGGGATCCCTGATCGGCCCTGGGGTTCACTGGTCTTCTCGAACCTTCCAGGGAAACGAACTGGGAGGTCTGCCCAATAGAGGACAACTGACATAGAGGCGGATTGGAGGATGCCGATGGTGCATTGGAGGTGACAACCCCGATGACACTGTCCTGGTGCAGCGGAGCGCTGTCCGATCTCCCAGACACTCCTAGCGGTTCAGGATGAAGCTACAACCGCAAGACATTAACGCCTGTTGGAAGAATTTGAGAATTCATTGCATGTCCGTAGGATTCGAGTCAGTTAGTTTGCTTTGCACTCTCATGTGCGTAAGCTAAGGCTGCCCGGATTTTGGCAAACAAGGCTCTGAAAAGTGCCTCAGCCATAGAGGGAGGTCGGGCTCCAAGTTCCAAGTTGAAGATGTCAACCAGCGAGCCAGAGGCTGCCACTGCTCATCAGTCCGATGCTTTGCATTTGAGGGATGGTCGAAGCAGGCTTCACCTTGCCTGATGTGGTGAGGTCCGGTGCAAGGATTTCAAAAGGGAAGAGAGGGAAAGGAAGGGACCCAGAGAAGATGCCTTGTGCCAAATTCATGCGGTCTAATGAATTTGTTTTGCCCACTGTTGCTCCCACGGATTTTCCGATCTTCTGTTGATCACTTCTAAATGATTCGAAGCAATGCTATGCAGCTGTACCGTCCCAGATCGAAATCAGCTTTGCAATGCTTTGCAAGGTTCAAGAAAGGATCGGACAAAAGAATGTGAGGGTTGTCAGTTGGAATCCGCTCAAAAGTGCCACTCAACCCCAAGCACAGGTTTCTCCTTTTACCCGGAGCTGCTGGGCGTGATTTGCTGCTGTCACCCGGCTGAAAGTCCAGATATCTCCGGGATTCTCCGGGCCCCTTTGTAGACTCAAAAAATTGGATTCGTTTTTGGATGATGTTGATTTGAGATGCTTCTGTGAGTTTCTTCGTGCTTTGATGTGATGAAGATGAACTGCCACTATCAAACACCACTTTGTTGAGGGCAACCTCCTGCGTGAAGTTGCTAAGCCCTGAGACTTGCATCAAGTTGCTAAGTGCAACGGCCTTCTGTGATCAGACGCATTGCAGCGTGAGTTGGCTGAACCTAGTGACTTACGAACCTGGTGGTGTCATTATGCCAGTCTTATCGCTCTTGAAAAATGCCATGAGATATGAAATGCCCAAGATCTTTTTTGGAACGATGATCAAGCTGAACCTCATTTGCAACGGCGCTTAGGTTTGAGGGGCGAAGCATACCAGAGCAGAGAGAGGCGACATGGCAATGCCTGAGAGAACAGGCATTTTCGCCACAAAACGTCCGTGCGCTGCCTTTCGCCCCGCAGGTGCTGCGCACTGCAAAGTCCAGAGGCAGCACCAACACAGCGGCAGCTGCAGGGACTGCACTGCTGAAAAGCCTTGGTGGAGGCCTGAGAAGTATGGGAGACCCTCTCGCCGGGGCCGGGAAACCAGACGGAGACCCGCCCATTTCACCAAATGCGAGGCATCGATTCTCAAAAAAGAAGAGAAACATCCCAAGCGATGGCTGGATTTGGCCTGGGTTGCACTGGAATGTGTCACCGGCAGATACTGGCAGGAGGTCCGGGGGACCATGTTGCAGCACCGGATGCACATGTGGAGATGGTCAAAGACTCAGACTCAATTATATACTACGTATATAGTTAAAGGCTTTTGATGTGTGTTTTGGTATGTGGCTTGCTGCCCTCCATTGTAAGAGAACTGCACCACCAGGAAAAGACGTTGCAAAGTTAGCGGCGTTGTGTTGCACACAGCCTGCTCCATGTTCAATAAGGTTGCGGAAGTCGCTGAATGTGGTGTAAGGCGCCTGCCTTTGGTATCAAGAAAACCAGCAGTCGCTCTCAGCCAAGACCTGCACAACGTGCGCGGTAAAGGTTATTGGGAATCCTGCAAAGCCCTTGTCAACTTCTTACTTTGCAGATTCAGATTGCTTTTGTCTTTGTGGAGCCATTTTGCCATGGGTGTGGTGGA